GAAAAGAATATTCTCATGTGTTCTACTGGTAGGAATTAAATTGGTTCAGCCATCCTGGAGAGCAATTTGCAATATTCATTAAATTTTAAAATGCACACACCCTGCAACCCAGAAGATATATTATCTGCCCCAGAGATACACATGCTCAAGTTCACATAGGCTGAATACAAAGGCAATTATTGGGATGTTTTGTCATCATAAAAAACTGAAAACATTCTAAATATCCATCAACTGGAGAATAGTTAAATAAAATATGTCACACACACGAACCACAGAATACCTTACACAGCGAAATAAGCAGTCTCCATGTACTGATGTGGAAAGTTTAATTGAAGCCAGAAGCAGGTTCCAGACTGATAGAGCATGACTCAATTCATATAAAAACCACACATGGAGACCTACAATAGCATATATTTTCTAGGGACCCATAGACAAAGATTTGGAAAAATCTGCCTCACACAGGTAACTTTGGGCAGGGTGAGGAGAAAGAATTGGGGAATGGTGAATCAGTGCTGTTTTACTGTGTTATAAGGAAAATGTATTTGCCTATTGCTTGTGTTATTAAAAATTCATTATTAGAAAGATAAAGATAAAAGGAAGAGAAAGAACAAATTTACAAAAGAGAGGAGGCTCCCAGGAGGATGTAGCCCACAGAGGACTAGTGGCGGACAGGAGCAGAGACCCCACTGACATGCAGAAGATTCCAGCTGTGACTCTGGGCTCCGGGCTGCAGGCTCGGGGCTGCAGGTTCGTGCACTGCCTCTGTTTTCCTGGAAGGACCGGGCGGGCCGCTGGGCTGGGGCAGGGTCCCGGCACACAGCGGTGTCTGTCCCTGCAGGCTTGGCATGCCTGGGACCCGCTGTCCTGGGACTTCCCCAGGCGTGGAAGGAGCAGATAAAGGCAGGTTTCGAAAGAGCCTGGCTGCCTTACAGGAAAGGGAGGGGAGGCTTTCGGAGAAGGACGGCCAGCCCTTCCCCTCCTCTCCCACTCCCTCTGCATCCCTGCCTGATCCCACAGGCAGCGCGATGCTCGGGAGTCCTCCACCCCAGGGCCTGGAGGGAGTGTCCCACCCCACCCACCGCACTGCACTGCAGGGGAGACGGAGGCCAGAAGCTAAGAAGGAAGGGGCCTTGCCCAAGGTCAAGGGCTGAACCAAGTTCTGAATTCAAGGGCTCTTTCCCAGGCTGTCATATGCTGGTGGGCTCACATCCCAGTTCCACCTCCCTCAAACTCTGTGCCCTTAGGAGCCTCCCCTTTAGGCAAAGTATAATTCACATCCCTCATATAAAATTCACCATTTTAAAGTGTACAGTTTTTAATATATTCACAAAGGCATGCAACCATCACTACTAATTCGAGAACATTTTTATCACCTGGAAAAGAAACTCCATGCTCACTAGCATTCCCCTTCCAATCACAGTTGACTCTTGAACAGCACAGTTTGTGAACTTGGAGGGTCTACTTAGGTGCAGATTTTCTTTCGCCTCTTCCACCCTGAGATAGCAAGACCAACCCCTTCTCTTCCTCCACCTAATCAACATGAAGACAGGAGGATAATGACCTTTATGATGATCCACTTCTACTTAATGAATGGTAAGTATAATATATTTTCTCTTTCTTATGATTTTCTTAATTACATTTTCTCTTCTCTAGCTTACTTTATTGTCAAAATACAGTGTATAATACATATAACATACAAAATATGCCTTAATCGCCTGGGTATGTAATCGCCTGTGTATGTAATCGTTAAGGCTTCCAGTCAACAGTAGGCTATTAGTAGCTAAGCTTGGGGGAAGTCAAAGTTATATGTGAATTTTCAACTGCCCAGAGGAGTCATTACCCCTAACCCCTGTGTGGTTCAAGGGTCAACTGTACTTAGTAGTATCTCCATAGATTTGCCTATTCTGGAATTTTGTATAAATAAAATCATACAATATGTGGCCTTTTGTGTCTGGCTTCTTTGACTTGGCATAATGTTTTTTTAAAGTTCATCCAGAATGTAGTGTACATCAGCACTCCATTCCTTTTCATTGCTGAATAGCATTCCATTGCATGGATATACAACAATTTGTTTATCTACTCATCAGTCAATGGAAAGTTGAGTTGCTTCCACTTCTCAGCTATATGAATAATGTTGCTAAGAACATTCAAATATATTTTTGAGTTGAACATATATTTTTAATTCTCTTTATTATATACCTAGGAATGGAATTGCTGGGTCATATGATAATTCTACGTTTAACATTTTGAGAAACTGCGAAGTTGTTTTCTACAGCAGATGTACCATCTTACGTTCCCATTAGGTATGTTTCTTAAGCCCTCTGAACCTCATCTTCCCATTGGCAAAGCATCAATATTGATATTTACCTTCTAGACTGGCTATAAGAATTAGATAAAATCAGGAAAGCAGTTAGCACATAGTAGGTGCTCAATAAATGGAAGTGATGATTATAATTAGAGAATCTATAACATTATGAACCTGTTCTTTTCAGTTCTCTTTGAATCTGAATGAGCACCTATTCTTCATTCTCCCCACTTGTTTACCTACTTCTTGAATTTCCCTAGGTGATTGTTTCAATTAAGATTACTCTGGAGCAAAATTCCTGCCACCTACACATGTGGGCACACGCGTGCACACACACACACACACACACACACACACACACACACACCATTTAATAGGGACCTAAGTAAGCTCGAGCTAAATGGAAAGGTAAAACTATCCTCCACCCTCATCATGCATGGTATGTTAGAGCTGGAATCGAATACTACAGTGGTTCTCAAAGTGGGGAACCCAGACTGGCAGCACCATCATCACCAGCATCACCTGGGAACCGGTTAAAATGCAAATCCTCAGGCCCCACCCCAGAACAAATGGAATCAGGGACGCTGGAGATGAGCCCCAGCAACCTGTGTCTTAACAAGCCCTCCAAGCGATTCTAATGCACACTAAAGCACCCAAATGACAGATGAGAAAACTGAGGCCCAGAGAAAGGATCTAACTTGCTCAAGGCCCCAGAGTGATAAAGAATGGGATCTCTGGAATCGTGTGGTCCTGGATGCACATTCCAGCTTCCCTACTTCCAACTGTGTGACGTTGGACATGACCCTTAACCTCCTTCACTTCAGCATCTTCATCTGTAAAATGGGAACAGTGCACGCCTCCCTCCCAGGGAGGCCACTCCACTCACGGGAGGCAGCGTGGAGGCTGGCGCGCGGGCCTCCTGGCTCCCAGGCTGGTGCTCTTCCTCCAGGCGGTCACCCCGGCACCGTCTCTACAATGGAGGATCCTGAGACTCTTGACATCGCAAAGGCGGCATGCAGAGGAGGACTCCAGAGAGAGAGCTGGAAGACTGGGGGAAGTTACAGGGAGGTAGGTCAGTGTCGGGGTGGCCTTCCTAACCAGAATTGTTCCAAACCAGAATCGGCAACCCCAAAAGGTACTGAGATCTCTCCAGCGGAAGAGTCCACGCAGCATCTATCTGCATGCCTGTCTTTGCAGAGTGTTGAGGAAGGGAGACTTTCAGGTGTGGATGATTTCTGAGGTCTCCTCAAACGTAACCTGGTAGGTGACACATGCTGTTTGTGTCCACAGCATGTATTCCTTTGGGGGGAACCACCCTTGCTCCATTCCCTGTGGTTGGAAGGGCTGTCAATCATGCTGCTTTCTCACCCAGCTCCCCAGGAGGCGGGCATACTCCCCGGACTGGCCAACCAGAGTAGCCCATCCTTCTCACCGCACCGCTTGGTTCAGGGAATGGCATGTGACCCAAGCCAGGCCAATCAGAATCTTTTTCTGCTAGAGCCCTCCCACAGCCACATCCATCTTTAAATTTACCAATCTGGGGAGTTTACAGAATTCCTTTTATGCTGAAGCCACTTGGCATCTCTGCTCTTACAACTGATACAGTCTTGGCCTGGCGCGGTAGCTCACGCCTGTAATCCGAGCACTCTGGGAGGCCGAGGCAGGAGGATCGCTTGAGCTCAGCTAGTTCGAGACCAGCCTGAGCAAGAGTGAGACCCCCGTTTCTACCAAAAGGAAGAAAAAAACCCAGCTGGGCATGGTGGCGGGAGCCTGTAGTCCCAGCTACCCGCCAGGCTGAGGCAGGAGGAGGACTTGAGCCCAGGAGTTGGAGGTTGCTATGAGCTACAGTGATGCATCTGCATCCCTACCCAGGGCGGCAGAGTGAGACAGTGTCTCGACAAAAACAAACAAGGCCACTGAGCACCCCTCCTCATAACCCTACACCCCGTCATAAAATATATATAGAGAGAATAATTTAAAAAGATTAAAAATAATAAATAAAAAGTTAAAATTTTATATTTATAATCGAAAAAAAGAAAAAGAAATAAAGGGAAAAATAAACTTCCTAAAAAAACAACTAATAAAGTCTTAACACTTTCACCTAAAAATGTGCCTTCTTGTTCTTGTACTGGGCCCTGCCTCCCTCCAGCATTACATTAAAACAACAGCAAGAAAAGCAATAGTCAAAACAACCATAGTTTAAAGCCATCTACCATCTGCAGTCTCTTGAAAAAACAATGCCAAATAAGATTTCAGTCCTAACATAGAGAAAATGTTTTGAAAGCTCTCCTGTCTCTTCACACATCTCATATTCATCTCACATTCAGGGCAGCTGGCCCCACACTTGCCCCTCTCTTTGCCAAATGCCCCCAAACTCTCCTTTCAAACCCAGCCTAGGTTGGCTCTTAGGTTTTGCCTCCTCTCCTGCCCTTCCCAACATCCATCAGCCCAACCCTACTCGCCCCCAGCCCAGGCATAAAGCTCTTCGAGTCTGTGAATCCTCACACAATAATGTGAGGTTTGGGGGACGGAGACTGTGTTTTGTTCCAACTTTTTTCTTTTTTAATTTATTTTATTTATTTGGCAGGTGAGTTGCTACACACTCCTTAGGGGATCCGACTTCCTGGGCCACCATCTGCTATCTGTATCTGCCAGCCCCTTTCCTGGGGTCTGATGAGCACAGGCATCGGGCACCTTCACTGGGCAGCGCCAGTTCTGCTTACCAAAAGTGGCCCACTAGGCACTCGCATTCCACGCCCGGCTCCACGCCAGCGAGCCGGGCTTCTTACCCATTTAAAGTTTGAGACTAAGGCCAGGCGCTGTGGCTCACGCCTGTAATCCTAGCACTCTGGGAGGCCTAGGCGGGCGGATTGCTCGAGGTCAGGAGTTAACCCTCTGACAAGACCCCCCCCCCCGTCTCTACTAAAAATAGAAAGAAATTATTACAATAACAATATAGTATAAAAAACCCCAGCTGGGCATGGTGGCGGGAGCCTGTAGTCCCAGCTACCCGCCAGGCTGAGGCAGGAGGATCACTTGTGCCCAGGAGATTGAGGTTGCTGCGAGCTAGGCTGATGCCATGGCACTCACTCTAGCCTGGGCAACAAAGTGAGACTCTGTCTAAAAGATAATAATAATAAAGTTTGAGACTAGGTTGAGATCGTTTCAGCCCCGAAACAGTTAACCATTCTCTCTACCAGGTAGAACTGGGTGGGGGTGGGTCATATGCGAGGGAGCTAGCTGCCCTGAGGGTCACTTTGGAGGGAACCAGCTACTAGATGGTTCCATTAGGCTTTCGCCGCTGTATGCAGGTCGGACTACCATTTGCACATCAGGACCACTGCGGACCTCCACCGGAATTTCCTCTGGCTTTGCCCTGTCTGGGCATAGTTCACCATCTTTCGGGCCCCAGCACATGTGCTCGTGTTCCATCTTCCCGGCCAGGGTGCGCCCTCTGCAGAGGGGAGAGGCCTCGGGCTCCCACCTGGGCGGGTGAGTGCACCAGCCTTCACCCTCTTTGCTCTTCAAGGCCTTCGGTGACTCACGCACGCGAGTAACGTGGTGTGGTTTTGTTTACCCTGCTACACATTATTCTTAAACATTATTCTTGAGGTCAGTGGAGGACTGTAAAATGCCAGATATGGAGGGAAGTGTGACTGTGAGGTCATACTTTCAGAAGAGATATTGAGGTCTTTTAAGTACGAGTCACATGCCAAGTTCAACTCAGTAGAGATTTGGTGAGTGGCTACCATGAGGCAGCTAAGAGCCAGGAGTGGGGCTGAGTTGTCTGGGGCATGTGGAATTTTCTGAGCCCTGGACAGTGAAGGTTTGCTCACCTGCTTTTCATTGAGTCCCTACTATGTGCCAGGCCCTGAGTGAATCTTTGTGGATGCATCCAAGAAGAAAGATATTAAATGCACAAAAATTATTTCTATGAAATTGTGATTAAGTACTCCCAAACAGACTGCTATGGTTTGAATATGTCCCCCCAAAGCCACAGGTTGGAAACTTGTTGGGAGGTGCGGTCCAATGGGAGGTGTCTGGGTCACAAGGGTTCTGCCCTGATGAGTGGATCAATGCCGTTATAAAAGGGCTTTCAGGAATGAGCTCTCTTCTACCCCTCTGTCATGCAAGAATATGACTTTCCTCCCTTCAGAGGAGCAGCGTGTCATCTTAGAAGCAGAAAGACTGGGCCCTAACTTGCTAGCACCCTGATCTTGAGTTTTACAGCTTCCAGAACTGTGAGAAAGAAATTTCTGTTCTTTATAAATTATCCAGTCTGTGATATTCTGCTATAATAGCACAAAACAGACTAAGTCAGAGATATGCATGGGGAGTGGGAGTGAACAAAGTCTGGAGTTAAGAAAGGCTCCCTGAGGAAGTGATACAAACTGAGAATGGAAGCAAGAAGAGAAGCTGCTAGAAGAGAAGCTGCTAGAAGACCCGGGGAAGATAAGTCTGGGAGGGGAATTCCCTGCACAGGGACCGGTGTTTGCAAAGGCCAGGGAGTGAGAGAAAGAAGGTGACCTGCAGGACTCTGTGTGGCTGGGCACAGAGAACTGGAGGGGAGCATCAAAAGGTTGTAAAAGCCTTTGACTGCTCATAGAAGACCATGCACTTCATACTGTGGACCAGACACTTTTAACGTGAGCATCATAGGCTTCTGGGGCTTGGGATGTGGGTTGTTCTAAACATGGAAACGCTCATTTATGGTGCCACAGATGTGGGCTCCTCTAACGGTGAGGGGAGATGGGCTTCCTCCACCCCGTGGTGAGCTGGGGCCAGCTCGGACAGGCTCGGAGCCAATTGTGCACATGTCTTCCCAACTGTGTTCGGTGACCTCACGTTGCTAAGTTAAAGTGACCCACGGTGGGGTGCTCACACCATGGAGGTTGGCAAACCCAACAAAGCAGGGCTTTCGCCACCCACAGCCAAGCCCCAGAGGTTGTTAAACGTTTATCAGCACCACTGCTTCTACCTAATATTCCAACCCAAAGAGGAGGCTGGTTCTCCAGCACCCACCGTTCCACTCAGGAAAGTTTAGTGCTGTGATCTTTGCAAATCAGGAAGTGACCGAGACTGGGGAAGTTTATTTTCATTTGCCCTTAAGCATCTGGAGGCAGAAGTTTTAAAACCACGAGTCTGAGGACAGACTGCGGTCCAAATCCCCATGTTGTCACTATAATTAGCTGTGTGACCTAAGCAAACAATGTAACCCCTCTTGAGTTTCATCTGTTAAAAGGGGATATTAATGATATCCGCCTCATGGGGCTGTTGTGAAGATCAAACACTGTCATGTACGTAAGCTGCAGTGCCACTGTCTGACAAGGACTCAATAAATATTATTGCTATTGGCTGCTTTCAATAAAGAAGTATCAATAGAGATATATTTATTTTATTCCAGAATGGCTTTATTATCTTTATTTGAGATATATGAAATCTATATGAGGATCTAGGTAGAGGCTAGGTCATGGTAACTGGCTAAGATTTTCTGACCTGCATCTATAGATGACTTATTTATTTATTTATTTTTATTTTACTGTATTATGGGGGTACAAGTGTTAGGGTTACATATATTGCTCATGCCCCCCTCAAGTAAGAGCTTCAAGTGTGTCCATCCCGCAATATAGATGACTTTTTAAAAAGGTTTTGAGAGATCCAACTTGCCTGAGCTTGTGGTTACAAAAATGTCCTTTCAAGAAGCAAAGTATCTGAACACACCACTTCCTAACTTGAAATTATAGGATGGGGAAAGGAGGGAGCAGGGGAGAACACACGTGGTGGCAGGTTTTGTCAAAAAGAGCAGGTGCCAGATTCAGACGCACAGCCAATGGATGGAACAGGTGGCAAATGAAGAGATTTTTGTCCCCACTGTCGAACCTGTTCCAAATCCAGTGGGATTCTGGGTCTGAAAGAGCTGTAGTTGCTCCATGGAGATGAAGTCAGCATTTCAGAGGAGATCCCAAGATACTGAAGAGTGCTCTCTCTGCATGCCGTTGAAGTCCAGACAGGGACCTGTGAGCATGGCTTTGTTAAGAAGTGCTAATTGGGCTGAAGTCATGATGCAAATCCCAGAGCAATTCTGAAATTCCCAAATATCTTCCCCCATGGACAAACTTAGAGCAACTTGGGGATCCACCAAGCTCTGTGAAATGCATTTTCTCTCCTGAGAAACGGTGGGATCCAAGCTGATCCCAATTTCAATTAATTATTGAAAAACTTGGAACCTAAACATGATCAGAAAGAAGAAACTTTAAAAGGAATCCAGGCCGGGCATGGTGGCTCACACCTGTAATCCTAGTACTCTGGGAGGCTGAGGCAGGAGGATCACTTGAGGTCAGTTTGAGACCAGCCTTAGCAAGAGCAGAGACCCCGTCTCTACTGAAAATAGAGAGAAATTAGCTGGGCTGTGGTAGGCTGTGCCTATAGTCCCAGCTACTTGGGAGGCTGAGGCAGGAGGATTGCTCGAGCCCAGGAGTTTGAGGTTTCTGTGAGCTAGGCTGATGCTACTGCACTCTAGCCCAGGCGACATAGCAAGACTCTGTCTCAAAAAAAAAAAAAAAAAAAAGGAATCCAGCCAGGCTCGGATTTTCACACCCATAATCCCAGCACTTTGGGAGGTCAAGGCAGGGAGGGTCTCTTGAGGCCAAGAGTTTGAGACCAGCCAGGGCAACATCTCTACAGAAAAAAAAAAAAAAATTAAAACCAGCCGGGCATGGTGGTATGTGCCCGTAGTCCTTAGCTATTCTAGAGGCTGAGCCCAGGAGTTCCAGGTGGGGCAGTGAGTTATGATCTCACCACTACACTCCAGCTGGGCTACAAAGCAAGACCCTGCCTCAAAAGGAAGGAAGGAAGCAAGGGAGGGAAGGAGGAAGAACTTCTCACTCGGAGATAAAAAACCATTTATATTAATATCGTATCTATTGGTAGGTATCCTTCCAAATCTGTCTGTGCACAGAGACGCGCGCACACTTTTTAAATGGGTCCATATTTTAGTACTCGCCTTTCTGCTTCTGAGCGCACCGCAGGCATCTGTGCCAACACTACCCTTGAGCAACATCCTTTTAAGTGACTGCAGACTATTCTGGCGGGCTCGTGCCTTACTCGGACGCTCTCACTGTTCTGGCGAGCACCACAGGCTGGGGGAGGGGGGCAAGCGCACTAAGCTGCGGAGCCTGCCACCCCGGGGACGGGTGCGGAGGTGGCGGCGCGCCCCACGGTCCCGCGGGGCCGACTCCGCGCGGACGCATGCGAGACTGCCGAACCGGCCTCGACTCCCCCAGCCCTGCTCGGAAGTCCCGTGGCGGAACGCCTGGCTGCGGTTGTTGAGAATAAACAGCTTTCCTCCCTGTCCTCTCATCCACGGATTTACCGATTTCCTTTTTCCCGGAACTGCGGGTGAAACAAGACAGAGCGGAGGCAACCGGGAGCCTCGCCCGGCTCGGGGCGGCCCCAGGGGACGCCCCGAGAGTAGGTGACAGCGGGGGCGGGCCCGCGGCTCGGCTCCCCATTGGCTGCCGGGCGCGTCACCTGCCGCGGTGGACGAGGCGGCCCAGCCGACCGCGGCTGTGGCCAGGGGCGGTGGCCGCCGCCCCGGGGCGACATGGCAGGGCCCGGGCGCTGGGCCCCGCTGCTCCTGTGCCTGCTGCAGGCCGCTCCAGGTAAGCGCGGGCCGCGGGAGCGAGGCGCGCGGCGCCGGCCGGCGCTCCACGCGCCCGGGCTCCGGGAGGCAACGTGGGCCACCTGCAGCCAGCGGGCTGCGTCCCGGAGTAAACAGGCCGCGTCTTTGAAATTCGTGTCCCGGCAGGAAACTAATCCAGTTTCCTAATTCAGGTCAGGCTTCAGGTGAAACTGGAAAAAGACGGCAGCAGTTTAGAAAGCAGCTGCATTTCTCTGTAAAGTGCTTCCTAAGGTTTCCTAAAGCGCTGCCCTCCAGGGGGGCCAGTAGGGCTAGTGGGCGATGGCCTCGCGCTCCCCTAGGCACCCTCCCCTTCTCCTGGGGGATGGAGTCTGGCTCCGACTGTGCCCTGCGGTGGCATTCCAGCAAGATGGGGTCTTTTTCTGGGCCCCTTCTGGCAAACAAGGTGGCAGGGTACCAAATACCTCCCGGTAGGACCCAGTCACCAAACCCCAGCTTCCACCGCTCCAGCCAATCCAGAGAGGAGACCCCGACATTGCCCCCAGGGTGTCTTCCTAGTCTTAGATGAACAATTTAAAGAGCTGGAAAGGTCCTTGGACATCACCTGATAATCATAAAAGCCAACATTTATTGAGCAAGTTCTTTGTGCTGGGCACTGCACTGTCTTATTTAAAGCCTCACTCCCAGACCGTCCTATGAGGTAGACAGTATTCAGATGTGGGACCTGGGGCTCAGAGCAATGAAGGAGAAGGACAGCAAAGGTGAGACACACAGAGCACAGGAGGCTGAGGTCAGCGAGCCTGGCCAGCTCTGGCCTCTGGGGTGGGCAGTGGAGCATGCTGTCCAGCCCTAGGTCACTAGGCCAGCCCAGAGACGCCCCAGCCCCCAGTGCAGTGAGTGATTTTGCAGCTGATGAGGAGGGACAGTGTACTTGTGGGACTGGAGAGGGTGTAGGAATAGGTCCTCTGTCCCCTGTTTCACTGTCAAACCCAATAATTTTCCTGTCTGGCCCTGGCTGTACTTTCATGTGAGAAGTGTTTAATGTACATGACAAACTATGGTGTACTGATGGTTTAGGGTGAAGTGCAGCCAGGTCCAGGTTCAAATCCTGGCTCCCACACAAAATGGCTGTGTAGCCTCAGGCTAATCACTCTGTCTCTGAGCCTAGTGTTCCCTCCCCTGGAAGGGGAAAGAACGACACCTACCCCATAGGGTGGTTTGTCCTGAGGTTTGCGTGAGGTTTTGCATATGAAGAGCCAAACCCTTGCCCGGCATCTTTGAAAGGAACAATAGAGGGTAGCTACTGTAGCTGCTCTTTTTGCCGTGTGACCAAGCTCAAACTTTGGGACTGGCCTGCCCATAAGACACCTTAGAAGCTGCTTGCAGACATGCTGGCCTCCTGCCAGTCTCCTGCTAGGAAATCCAGAAGCTGGAACAATGACTGCACCAGCATCTCAGTGATCCAGTCCCAGCTAGAGGACATAGGATGGGGGGCGGGGGGTTTGCACAAGTGGGCACCCACATTTGGGTGTAAAAGGTCAGGGATAGGCAGCCCAGGCTGTTAAGAGCCATCAGTAGGACTTGGTTCCCCCTCCCTGATGCCATTCTACAGCCTGTATGGATTTCCCTCGTGGCTCATGTGACACTTCAGGTCACTGACTTCTCCATGGGGCCATGAGGTCCTAGGGTAGGAATGCAGCTGTATTCCTCTTTGAAACTCCTGGCACAGAGTGGTCGGCAGATGTCGTTGACTAACAGTGGTCGATAGATGTTGAAATAATAAACTGGACAGGCCACATGAGAACCTAGAGGACAAAGTATGGTCAACAGCTCAGACTTTGGAGTTGGCAAGGTCTGGATTTCAATCTGATTCTACAACTCATTAGCTGAGAGGGCCTCTGTTTTCCCATCTGTAATGTGACCATCATAATGAAAACCCACCTCCTACGGGTGCCGTAAGGACTAAACAAGAAAATGCAGGTAAAGTGTTTAGCACGCAGCCTGGCTCATAGTTAGAATACAGTACACATGAGCTGCCAGGATTAATATTACCATCATCACCACCTCTTAAAGATGTCAGGGAAGACTCCCTGGAGGAAGGGACGTTTGAATCAGGTCTTTCAAAGATTAGATGGTGACAGTCAGAGACACCTGGGTTCAAAGACATGCGAAAGAATGCAGTGGTTTGGAACAGCAAGAAGGAAAATTGTTCGCAGCCTGGGGAGCCTGTGGGGGTGTCGTCAGGGAGAGAACGGCGAGATAGCCCGGCCAGGCCATGTCACACGGGGCCTCACACACCTGGATAAGGAGCGTGGACTTTATTCTGAGGGCGAGGGAAGGGCATGGAACTGGGGAGTGGTGGAATCAGATACCTGTTTCAGGAGGTGAGAGGGCGTGTGTCAGGGAGGGGAAGTAGAGGTCAGTTAAAGGTGGTCAGGGAAAGTGTCCCAGAGACAGTGACTTCAAAGGAGTGGTGAAAAGAACAGGGAGGGGGAACAGCGTGCGCAAATGCTGGAGGTGGGGGCCCGGCTGGGACACTCCGGGAAGAGCAAAGAGGCCGTGTGGCTGGAGGGGCGGGAGCAATGGCAGAGGGCAGAGCGTGGGCTGACTGAGCAGGGCCCTGAGGGGGTTGTGAAGACTGTGGAGTTTACCTGGAGTGAGCTGAGAAGCAGAAGAGGGAGCCATCTGACTTTCACTTTGACCCTTGCAGCCACGGGAATCAGGGACTGCAGGGACAAGATGTTTTATTTGTGTGTTTGTTTTTTTTAAGAAGGGAAAAAAGCCTTTAAATAGTATTAAAGTTGTTTACTGGTGCTTCTGCTGCCAAGCTCTTCTGCAAATCAAAATGAAAAAGCAATTAGAAATGGGGCAGTGATCTGAGACTACAGTAGTGCAGACGTTTCATCCAACATTTGGCTGACAATTTTAGTGTAACAAAGTATGACATAATAGTTTCTAAACAGTTACGATCTAGAGCAGAACTGAAAACAAGAGCCTGGTGAGGTGGCTCATGCCCGCAGTCCCAGCACTTTAGGTGCTCTGAGATGTGAGTATCACTTGAGGCCAAGAGTTCAAGACCACCCACCCAACCCTACCCACAAAAAATTTTTTTAAAAAGAAGAATTAAGGCTATAAACTAGGCTTCTCCAACTCCTAGCAACAGAACTTTGGTTAAGTCACATAATTTGTTAGTTCTTATTTACCCATATGTAGATAGAGCTTAGAGTAGTTGGCCTACACCCCTCCAGGGGCCATGAAGGTAAATTAAAATGGCGCCAGATACCAATGACAAGGACTTCCTTTCCTGAAGTGATGGGCCTTGCTAAAACACACACATGCAAACACACGCACCCACACGCTCACACACGCACGCGCACACGTGCCACGTCAATGCACTCTTCTCAGCAATACCTGGGTCTAGCTGAATCTGCAGAAAGTAGGTAAAGCTGTCAAATATCTCCTCTTAAACCAACAGAATGTATGTGGCAGATGTCATATTTGTTTTTTAACCACTCTTGAGTCCCATGTGAAATTCTCAAGAGTACATTGTTCACAGTTGCGCATATCCCCATATATGTTGGCACACAACACATTAATTAATGGGGGAATTGAAAACATACTTTCAAGTGAAAATGCATTTTAAGAAAAAATACAAATCTGAAAGGGATACAAAATGAAATTGTAAAAGAAATAAAGACTATAGATGTCACCTGAAATTCCATAGAAACATGCCGCAAATGTGGATGCGGTGGCTGTCCACACTGGGACAGGGTGTTTGGAGAGACCCCAGTAGCGGAGCGGCCAGCTCCCCTGGCTAACGGGAGACAGACGCAGGGGAGCTGGGTAGGGGTGTTTGCATGTGCCTTTCATGGGATGCTACTTTCACCCGGCAGACGGCCTAATGCCTGTCCTGTGACCGGGGTCCCTCACATAGGGAACTTGTTTATGCTGGCAGTTGCTCATGTGGCTCTCGTCTGACCTGTGTCCCATTTACGCCTGCCTGACCATCGCTGTGGCGCTGGGATCCCAGCCTGTGGTAGCCCCTGGTTCTTCAGATAGAAGGCACAAATTCGTTTCACCACCACAGTAGGAAACAAGCTCAAAGATTTATTACTTACAGATCCTGGGCAGAGAGGGTGAGGTGAGTCAGAGAGCCGCCCGCCACCCCGGGTCACAGGAGGCAGGAATGAAGAGTCTGGCAGAGAGAAAGCCAGAGCGTGACAGCTGGCGGTATTTGTAAGGGACTAGGGCTTGGGTCACCTTAAGTTCCAGGCAAATGCCTGAATGGTCCCTTTAGAGGAAGCAGCAAGAAAGAGGCAGGAGAGATGTCCTTAAGTTCTTATCTCTGGTCCCCTGCGCCAGCCATTCGGGTGTGGTGTTCTGTTTCTAACGCCCGGGTGGGCGGCAGTCTTTGCTGTGTCATCCCGCGACACAGGTTGGAAGCAGCGAGGCCCGTTAAGAGGGCTGGGGAGTAATTCAAGTTATCGTAATATTCATCCATGCACTCCACAGATGTGTATAGGGCACCCATGGTGTGCCTGGGGCCCTAGCTGGCAGGCTCTGGGGACGTGGCTGAGAACGAGACACAACCCCTGCTCCCTCCTGGTGACCAGGAGGGGAGCGAGCCCGTTAGAAGGTTACTGTTCCGCGGTGTTCTGCTGGGACCCTGGGGTGCGGGAGCTTCTTCTCAGGGCACAGATGGGAGTGGCAAGGGGCTCCTGGTCCCTCAAACTCTCGAGCACCTGGCTGCCCTGTGTGCCACCTCTCAGCTCAGAATGTCCCCTGTCGAGACCAGCCGGGAGCCCCAGGCTTCATGACCTCTTTCTCACCCGCAGGGAGGCCCCGTCTGGCCCCTCCCCGGAATGTGACGCTGTTCTCCCAGAACTTCAGCGTGTACCTGACGTGGCTCCCGGGGCCTGGCAGCCCTGAGGATGTGACCTATTTCGTGGCCTACCAGAGGTAAGGGGACTCCAGGCTGGGGGGTGAGGAGGCTTGGGTGGGAGCCGGAGGCATGTGGCCGGCATTCAGAGAGGGGCTTTGAGTAAGGCCTGGAGGTGGGAACGTTGTTGAATGGAGGGCACAGGTGACTGGCCTGCCAGGGACGGGCTGCATCTTTGAGAAGGGCTGGCGCGGGGCACGGTGGCGCTGTGAGGGCCACACGATGGAATGCGTGAGTGGCTGCCAGAGGTGCTAGGAGCTGTCCCAGCCCAACGGTGAGGGCAGGTGCGTGGCAGAGGAGCTGTCGCCGGCTCCTGCTGAGACTGGGGGATTAGGCGCTGCTCGATGGTCACACTTTTCCCCGTGGAGCCCGGACACGACCTTGGGGTCCTCAGCATGGAAGCCCAGGTGGCCGCTGCTGACTCGGAGGAGTCTGACAGTGGAAGCTGGTGCACCGTCTTTGAACGTGGATGGAATCCTTGGAAGTTCTTTCGTAGGACAGTGGGGATAGAAGCAGGTCCTCTGGAGGGCTAACCTGGGACTGGTGAGGAGGGGAAGGAACTACCATGTCCTCAGGACCCTCCCCCGCTGGCGCCCACCCCGTGGCAGGTGCTTTGTGCCAGGTGCTGTGGGGCTGGCGTGAATATTTCACTTCCTCCTCCCGATGTCACCAGGCAGGCACCGTGTTTCCCCCGCTTTGGAGGTGGAGAGATTGAGCTCAGAGAGGTGCCGGGACGTGTCCAGGACTGGTCTTTTGTGATATTAAATACTTTTCTTCTCTTTTATACTGTTTAAACTCCTGTGAGAATGGCAGCTATTCCAATTATATTATTATTTTCATTTGTTAGTTGGAATTATTTTATAATCCTCTCATCTAGGATTTGATATCCAGTGGTGCTATTCAAATAGGCAAGACAGGAGAAAATGCTTGGGATTTTTTTTCCTTTTATTTACCAGTTTTCAAGATAATGAATTGGTTCCCTGTCACCTTCCAAAGGTGACTGATTAGTTTTGTTTTTTTTATTCACTATCATTATAAACTCCAGTATTTAAACACACCTGGTGGTTTCAAGCCGTTGCAACTTACTCTGCTCATTGAAGCTTGAATTGCCCCATCCTCGGCTAGTGAGTCTTTTCAAGTTGGTTCCTGAGTCCTTTTAAGTTGTCTCTAGTGGTCTTTCTTGCCGCCTGTAATGACAAGATGTTCAAGGCTCCTGTTGTACAAGTCCTGACCCCAAACCTGCCACCAGCCATTGCTCCATTTAGTAGGAAATGGTTTTACAGACCACAGTTTATGTGCTGGCTGTGCTGATCACTACTCAGCCACTGCTTTTAGATCTTTTCAGTGAACAGAGTTGAGATATACACCACATTGACATATGTACATAATTCTTAAGATCAAATACCTAATGAGTTCGTACTGATGCTTCCAATGTAGATTCAGTTCCTTGGGATTTTTACTTAATCTCTTCTATATTATATCTGTATTTTCTTTCTTTCACACTGAGAATCTCAAGGACACAGGAGATGATAGAATTAGAACAACCCATAATTACTCATTGTTTTTATCCTCAAATATACATTATAGTCTTTTATAAGTTACTTGCTCTCTTTACTCTAAGGATTATTTGTTTTTCTTTAAAACCTTGTAATTTTACTAGACTATGTTTTGATATAGGCATTCTCGCTTGGTATTTTTAAGTACTCAATATTCTCTCTTAAAACATAGTTCGAAGTCTTTATTTCAGGACAGTTTTCTTAAATTATAGTTTTTAGTGCTCATTCTGTTCCTTCTCTAGGGACTCATATCATTTTTATATTGCGTCTTCTTTTTCCATCTTCCGATATTCGTCTTTTTCTGTCATATCCCATTTATTTATTTATTTAAGCTATTCTCTAAATGGAATAGATTTCACTCTTGATTTTTTTTTAATGGTGTGCTTTTATGTTTGAGATTATTCAACATCTCCTTGATGTCTTTTATCTTGATTACATTTATTTTCCTAAAACTTTTCCCTAAAAAGTCCGTTTTTAGCTGACATGTCCGTAACTGAGGATGCACATTTCTTATTACAGCCTCATTGAACTAATTCCATTTTTCTTTTAAAAATCAACATTATTGAGTTAAAATTTCACATAGAATGAAATGCTCCCATTTTAAAGTTTACAGTTCGACGAGATTTGGCAAATGCATACACTCACGTGACTACAGCCACAGTCAAGATACAAGACGTCTCCATCACCTCACGGAGTGCCCTGATGTCACTTTGCATTCAGTGCCCCCTAGGTCCAGATCTCCTTTCTGACACCGTAGGTCACCTTGGCATGTTCCAGAATTTCACATGCATGCATTTGTATGGCCTGTGCCCTTTTGTGCCTGTCTTCCTTTACTCAGCAAAACGTTTCTGAAAGTCATCCACATTGTTATATGTATTAGTAGTTAATTTCCTCCTACTGCTGTATTCCGCTATGATTATGCCACCATTTGTTTATCCATTTCCCATCAATGGATATTGGGGTCGTTTCCAGCCCAGGGAATATATTAGCTTGCTAGGGCTGCCATACCCTCTGCCCTATAGACCACCCAAATTCATGTCTTCCTCATACGCAAAATACATTCCAAACAGCCCCCAAAGTCTTAACCCATTCCAGCATCTCCTCTAAGTTCGATGTTTCATCTACATATTATCTACATCAGGGATGGGTGTGACTTGAGGCATGATTCATCCTGAGGCATAATTGCTCTCCACCTGTGAATCTGCGAAACACACAAGTTAGGTGCTTCCAAAGTCAAGAGGTGGAACAGGTGTAGGATAGACTTTTTCATTCTGAAAGGGAAAATTAGGAAAGAGTGACAGGCCCCAAAACCTGGCAGGGCCAATCCATTCGACTTTAAGGCTCAGGAATAATCCTCTTTGGCTCAATGCTCTGCCCGCTGGACCCCACCCCTGAGACACTGGGTAGCAGCTTGCAGCCGGCAGCAAGTCAGGAGAGACAGCCTTGTCCCCAGGCCTTGGTGGCCCCAGGTCCTGCCGATCTCTGAATCACCCTCAGGGGCATCCTTCCCTTTTCTTGAAGGATAAGGCATGTTCACAGAATCCCACAGGTCTGACAGTCTTCCTTCATTTTGTCCTGTCTCTGTCCTCTTGGGTCAAAGCTGGCAGTGTCTCTGCTGGAATAGTCCCTTCTCCATGTCTGATTTCTGCTTAGGTGGCTGATTAAATCCACGAGTTGCACCCATGATCTCTTTATCACATGGTTTTCCACAACCTTGATGTTCGCTCCAGAACATGCTTTCTCCCTTTTTTGGCAATATGGTTAGGCTGAGAATTTTCTAAACCTTCAAGTTCTGGTTCCTTGTTGCTTCACAAATCCTGTACTATACCTCTCCTCTCACATTTTATTATAAGCGATACAGAGAAACCAGGCTTCACCTTCAACACTTTGCTTAGAAATCTTTTTGGCTAAAAATTCAAGTTCATCTCTTTTAACCTCTACTTTCCACAAAACACTAGAACACAACTCAGCCAAGTTCTTTGCCCCTTTATAACGAGGATGCTCTTCCCTCCAGTGTCTGATAACATGTTCCTCCTTCCCATCTGAGATGTCACCAGCGTCACCTTTAATGTCTATATTCCTATCAAAAATCTCTTTAAGGCAATTGAGGCTTTTTCTAACATGCATCTCAGAACCCTTCCCACCTCTGCCCGGTACCCAGTTCCAAAGCCACTTCCACATTCTTAGGTATCTGTGACATTAGCACCTCACTTCTGGTACCAAAATCTGCATTAGTTTCATAGAGCTACCAATACAAAGTACTGCAGACTGGGTGGCTTAGACCATGTCCCATAGTTCTGGAGGTTGAAAGTCCAAGGTCAAGGTGTGGGCAGGTTTAGTTTCTCCTGAGCCTCTCTCCCTGGCCTGCAAATGGTCACCTTCTTGCTGTGTCCCCATGTGGCCTTTTCTCTGTGTGTGTCCACTCCTGGTGCCTCTTCCCCTTCTGATAAGGACACCAGTACTGCTGGATTAGGGCCCCACCCTTGTGACTTCATTTAACCTTAATTTCCTCTTTAAAGTCCTTAATCTTCAAATATAATCATATTGAGGGTTAGGATTTCAACACATGAATTTTGGGAGAAACTCAGTTCAGTCTATAACAGCTCATATGAATTAAGGTACTATGAACATTCATGTACAAGCCTTCGTGTAGACATGTGTTTTCATTTCTCTTGGATAAAGATTTAGGAGTAGAATCTAGGAGATTTGATAACTGAATGTGTAACATTACAAAAAACTGTCCCGCTGTATTCCAAAGTGTACCAAGGTTCATTTCCTCCCATGGTATATGAGAGTTCCAGTTGCAGTCTGGTCAGGTCTGGTCTGGTCAGGCGTTTTTGTTCTAACCATTCCAGTGAGTGTGTAGTAGCAATTCATTATGGCTTCACTTTACCTTTCCCTAATGACTAATGAAGTTCAACATCTTTGCCTGGGCTTATTGGCCATTCCTATATCTTCTTTTGTGACTATTCAGATATTTTCCCCATTTTTTATTGGGTGGTTTGTTTTCTTCTTATTGTGCTGTGAGAGTCCTCTGTCTGCTTTGGACACAGGTCCTTTGCCCAAGTCTGCGGTGTGAGGGCTGCGCTGGGCTTCCAAGATGGCGCCTCCTGCCCGCCGCGCCTCCTTGCATGGTGGAAGGGCCCTCTGAAAGCAGTCACCCCCATGTTACCCTATTTTATCACCGCACTACCAGCTCCTGGGGTCACCTTGTTGATGTGATTAGCGTCTCTTGTCCCCCTCCCATCAGATATAAGTTCCTGAGGGGCAGGACCTCCTCTGTCACACATTGTCACTTCGCCGGTGCCCGGGGATAATGCCCGGTGTGCTCGTCTCTCCTCTGACCTTGGAGTTCTCAGCAGGATGGATCCATGGACCTGCATGTCCCCCTCTGACCTCCACACAGCACCCAGCACGGGCTTGGCATGCAGAGCTGCTAGCAGTAGCGGCCACCAGAGCAGCCCCATGAGGGAGGCACGACAGATGAGGGGTGGAGGCGTGGGGCAGGGGCCTGCCTGTGGTCCCAGAGCCAGTGAGGGGCAGGGACAGGTTTCCCTCCCCACCTGTCTCCAGCACCTGAGCTCCTGAGCAGGCTGTTCCTATTCTGTCTCAGCCGGTGGCTGCCTGTCTGGATGGACAGGCCGCCGGGCTGTCAGGCTGAACAGAGGGACGAGCAATCACTGTTCTCCAAATCCCCCAACCCCGAGAGGCTGAGCCCACGGCCCAAGCTCTCTCGTCTCCTCCCCCAGCTCTCCCACCCCCCAACGGTGGCGAAAAGTGGAAAAGTGTGCGGGAACCAAGGAGCTGGTGTGCCCCATGATGTGCCTGAAGAAGCAGGACCTGTACAACAAGTTCAAGGGCCGCGTGCGGGCAGTGTCTCCCCACGCCAGGTCCCCCTGGGTGGAGTCCGAGTACCTGGATTACCTTTTTGAAGGTAGGATTGTGGGTGAGGGACTGAGTGGGGGGCTGGGCTCTCCATCCCGCCCATTGGCGCTGCTGTGTTGATCTCCATCTCCCACTTCCCCAAAGCAGAGGGCAGCTCTCGGTCCCGCTGGCCCCAGCCCTGAGGCCAGCCCTGGTGAGATGGGGCAGGGACCTGCGACAGCCTGCCAGCGAGCTGGGGGAGGTCCAGCCAGCGCCGGCAGCTCGGCTTGTACCTCCTGCTAACCATGCCCGTTATCCTCTTTTGAGCACTGCTTAGGTCATGGACTACACAAGGCACATTTTATACTTATTTTTTTTATGTTTAACTTCTCTAAGAAACATTTAAAAAAAAGAATACTCTGGTTGCAAAAGTATTTCCTGTACACGGTAGAAATGTTGCGGAAAAGGAAGAAAAAGAGGGAAAAAATCACCCCGTGCTTAGCACCAAAATCACAAGTGTTGATATTGGGTAAGGACAGCACTTTTTTTGTCAATATATTTTATTTCTAATCCCCACAGCAAACTTGTGAAATTCATTTTCATCAATCCATTTTAAAAACTAAAGCAAGACTCGTGGAAGCTGAGTAGCTTGCCGGGATACACTGCAAGTGCTGGATATCGGAGGTGAATTTGGATCTTTCTGACCTTGGGCAAGGCCCTGGGCCAGACTCAAGAGTGAGGGACAGTGGTGACATGGGGAGGATAAGTACCCAGACTGTCCTCACAGGGCACAGTGCTGCTGCCCGGGCTTCTCAAAATGTTTGAGGGCAAAACTCGGGCTTGAAGAGAGGAGAGGGAGCAATGAATGAAGAATGCGGGACAGGATGGTAGATAAGGAAGAAGAGATGACTCGGATGGGAAGGACCTGGCTGGGTGGATGGATAGAAGGAGGAAAAGGATGGAGGGTAAGAAGAGAGGAAGTATGAAGAGGAGGGAGGAGGTGATGGAAGGCTGTGAGGAAAGAAACAACTAGAGATGGAGGATAGGAAGGTGCATTCGTCAGGGTTCTCCCGAGAAACAGAACCAACAAGATATATACAGATATAATATTATTAAGAGCATATTTATTATGGGAATTGGCACATGCAATTGTAAAAGCTAAAAAGTTCTACAGCATGTTATTGGCAAACTGGAGAACCAGGAAAGCTGGTGGTGTAGTTCAGTCCACGTCCATAGGCCTGAGAGCCAGGGGAGCCAATAATGTCACTCCCAGGCTGAGGCCAAAGGCCTGAGAACGTTTGAGGGGTCACTGACCAGAGGGGTCACTGGTATAAGTCCCAGAGTCCAAACACCCAAGAACAAGAAATTCCAATGTCCAGGGCAGGAGAAGATGATGTCCCAGCTTAAGAAGAGAAGCAGCAAATTTGCATTCCTTTGTCTTTTTGTTCTATTTGGGCTCTCAGCAGATTACATCATGCCCCCTACATTGGTGAGGGAAGATCTTCTCTACTCAATCTACTGATTCAAATGCCAGTTTCTTCTGGAAACACCTTCACAGACCACCCAAAAATAATATCTTAACAGCTATCTGGGCAGCCCTTAGCCCAGTCAAGTTGACACATCAAATTCACCACCACAGAAGAAAAGGCAGGTGGGTGATCAGTGGGAAGACAGTATAGAAGAAAATCTGGACATCTAGGAAGGAAGGAGGGGTAGGAGTGAAGGAGAAGCAAAGAAGGAAGGGTATGTAGGAGGACAGGAAAGAAAAGAAGAATGGATGGATGGGAAGGATGCATGAGTATAAAAGGCTGACTGGCTAGATAAAAGGAAGGAAGTATAGATTAATTAGAACAAAAGATGGAATGATTGGGAAGAAAGGAAGGAAGGATGGGAAGGAAAGATGGGAAGGAAGGAAGGCTGTCTGGCTAGAAGAATGATGGGTGAACCACTACAATGGTTGGATGGACAGGAGTAAAAGATTAGAAGAATAACTGGAAAGACAAAAGAGGGACATTAAATTTTTAAAAATTTTTAATTTCTCCTGATTCTCTGGCAGCACAACCCAAGCCAGAATGGCCCTTCCCATCTCTACACTCCCTCCACATTTTTCCTGCTCTCATCAGTGGGCCTGGTCACTTTCTTTCTTGAGTTTTGGTCGTTTGCTCATTTCACTTCTTTCTAAGCTCGCAGCTCCTGGGCGTCAGGATCCACGGAGGCCTTGTGTTCCCATTGTCCTCGGCTCTCTTCCCAGGCTTGTCACATAGTCAACACCCACCAGGTGTTCCCTAAACATGTACGTAGTGGCATCACGGAGCAGCCACATGTTCACCCTGAGCACAAACACAGGGCAGAGATTGCCACTGCAGGCAGAGACCCTTGCTGGCTGGGAGCCCAGGAAGGCTGCATGAAAGAAGTGGTATTGCAGCTAGAACTTGAAAGATGGGGTCTTAGTTTTCTCTGGCTGCCATATTCCTTGTCACATTGCCCCTCCATCTTCAAACTGTCGGGCAAGCCTAGATGGCCTTCAACAGACTGTCAGTAGACATGTGGACATTAAAGACTCTGCTAGTGAGAGCTCAGAAGGAAACAAGGAACATTAGAGAGGAAACCTAAATCCCCTTCAAGAATACCTCAGTCATTGTGAAGAGACTATTAGAGGAAATCTGCAGGTCAAAGGCCCTGCTTCACAAGGTGAGCAACGTGTTATTGAAAACTGGAGAAACTGGAGAAAGGAGTGTCCTTGTTACCCAACCCACTGGCAGAAAGTGTTATCAGAATTGTGTCCTGCAGGCGTGTAGGAAGAAGAACTTGTAAATAACGAACTTGACTATTTATCTGAGATTTCCAAGCGAAGTGTTGAAGGTGTGGCCTGGTTTCTTGCTGGGGCTCATGGTAAAATGCAAGGGACAGAGAGAAACTGAGAGAAGAACTTAAATAAAAAGGAACCAGAACTTGATGACTTGGGGAAAACTCAACCTATCCAGATGGCAGAAGACATTAAAATGAAGAAATTGCTTCCAAAAGTGTGACAGAGACACAGCCGAGTGTGTGACTGTACCATCTTTTATGGAAACCCCAGAAGGATCAAAAGATTAAAGTATTCAAAAGGCTCTTTAAAGAGGTTAAGGGTGTGACTCACAGGGCCCCTCAGTCACTCCAGGGGACCTCTAGGATGCCCTTCTAGGAAGCTGAAGGGCATCATCCCTCAGCTGTCTCAGCTGAAGCCACAGATTGGAAAGGACTTATCTCAAAAAGGATTTGTGGACCTGGCCTTTGTCTAATGGAGTGGGTCCCATGACATCCAAAGGCAACCCCTGAAGTTCTTGAGAACTTGGTATCTGCAGAAACGCTGCCAGCTTGCACTAAAAGGAACAGAGAGTGTGAAATCAAAGAAGGCTTTGTATTCCCCACTTTCTACTGGTGAGATGCAGCTGCCACAGCAACTTAGCTGCTAACACCTGCTGCCTTTAGTGAAAGGGGAAGGATGACTCAGAGGGTGGAATCAGGGGCTCAAAGGGCAATGCTGAGAGCCGAGAAGAATTACTCCCACGTCTTAAAACCTCATGGAGTTTTCTTGGCTGGATTTTGAAACTGCTGTGGATCATTACTCCATTTTACCTTCTGTTTCCCAATGTTTGAACCAGATTGTCTGTAACTATGATCCTGTCTGTGCCTGTCCTGCCATCAAATAATACGTTGGGAAGTGATAACTTGTTCTTTTGTTGCACTGGCCCACAGATGGAGAGAAATTGTGCCCCAGGAGTTGTACTGATTGGACTATAGCCAGAGTCTCATCTGATTCTGATTTAGATATTGCTGATGATAAGATTTTGGAATTTGAGTTGATGCTGTAATGAGATGAGTTCTTGGGATGGGGTGAATGTATTTTGCATTTGAAAAGGATATGAATTTGGGGGAGCCAGAGGGAGGACCATGGTAGGCAGAATGACTCTCCAGAGATGTTCTGCCCTAATCCCTGGAACCTCTGAAGATGTTAGATGTTCGTATTACATGGCAAAAGGGATTTTAATTAAGGTTATGGATTGCTATGGTTTGAATGTCTCCTCCAAAATTCATGTTGAAATTTAATTGCCCTTGTGATGATATTAAGAGGTGGGATTGTTATTAATAAGAGGTGATTAGGCCATAAGGGCTCTGCCCTTGTGTTGCATTAATGCCATTATCTTGGAAGCGGGTTTGTTATCATGAGAGCGGGCTGTCATAAACACAGGTTCAACCGTCCTTACCCGTCTGCTTTCTGCCATGGGGTGACACGGCAGGAAGGCCTCGGCAGATGCGGGCACCATGCTCTTGGACTTCTGGGCTCCAGAACCGTGAGCGAAGTAAATTTCTTGTTGTAAATCACCCAGTCTGTGGCACTGTGTTACAGCAGCAGAAAACAGACTGAGACACAGACCTGAAAATAGCGAGATTATCCTGTATTGCCCGGATGGCTGCAGTCTAATCCCGTGAGCCCTTACAAGCAGAGAACTTTCTCCAGCTGGAGGCAGAAGAGACATAGTGGAAGAAGTCAGAGCGATCTGACATGTAAAGATTTGTGCCATTTCTGGTTTGAAGATGGAAGAGCAACGTGATGAGAAATGCAGAGGCCTTCGGGGGCTGGGAGAGTCTCCCACAAACCAGCAGCAGGAGACGGCCCCCAGCCCCACAACCACAAGACTGAGTTCTGCTGCTTCCAACAGGAAGGAGCTTGGAAGTGTCTCCCCGCCCCCTCCACCCCCAGTGCTCCAGATGTGAGACTCAGAGCAGTGGAGCCAGTTGAGCCCACCCGGACTTCTGCTGTACTGAACAGTGAGAGGATGAGTTTGTGTTGTTTGGAGCCCACTACATTTGGGGTGACGTGCTGTGGCAGCAATAGGAAACTATCCCGGACGGGTAGGATCCTGCCAGGCCAGAGGCGTGTGGAGGGCACCCAGGTGGAAGAGACCGCAAGAGTAAAGGCAGGTCAGCTGTGAGCTAAGCCAGGTCATTCACCTTTCTAAGCCTCAGTTTTCCCTTCTGTAAACTGGGAATCTCGATTCCTCCCTCCCAGGGTCAGTGCGAGGCTTATGTGGCTGTAAACGCTTGATGTCCAGGGGGTGTTGGACCCGTGCTAGTGTCCCTCTTCCCTTTCCAGGGAAGCTCTGTGGCCCGGATGGAGGCAGAGGGCCCTGACAGGTCCTGCTCTGTCTCTGTTTCTGCAGTGGAGCCTGCCCCGCCCGTCCTGGTGCTCAACCTGACAGAGGACATCCTGAGTGCCAATGCCACGTACCAGCTGCCCTCCTGCATGCCCCAACCAGACCTGAACTACGAGGTGGCATTCTGGAAGGAGGGGTCCAGAAACAAGGTGGGAAGATCCTTTACTGCCCCAGGATCAAGCCCCTCACGCCCCCCAAACCTTGGTGCCCTTAACCCCCACCCCCACGCCCCATAGCCTGCTCCTGCATGTCCCCTCCTGGAAGCCTTCCCCATGCAGCCCCGACTCTGGCAGTCAGCCCCCGGCCTGTGGCCCTCCCTGCCCTTGTCCACCAAAGAGACCAAGTACAGGGAGCGCATCCTGCCTCTGCACAGTGCAGGGGCCAACAGCACAGCGGTTTTCTACATGATCTTTTTTTAAAAATTATGAACTCCTCTTTTTTTCCTAAGAAGATCTGATTGAAGTATGATGAGCTCCAAGAGCCCTACTTGCCAAGCTAGTCACCAGATTCAGCACAGAAAAGCCAGGACATATAGATAAGCTCTAAGCAGCAGACCAAAGGTGCCCAGAGACGACCACGAATGGCCCTGGCGTGCTCCACTTTCACACTCGTTTCCTACGTATGCGTGTGTGTGTATCTGTATTTATCTATCTATGGCGAGGCTTGGCAAACTTTTTCTGTAAAGGGCCAGAGAGTAGATATTTCTGGCTTTGTGCGATGGGCTTACAGTCACTCAGGACAACTCAGCTCTGCAATTGTAGCACAAAAGGAGCCGTAGCCAATACGTTTATGGATGTGCATCCCCGAGTGCCAGCAAAGCTGTTTGTGAAAGCGGGTCAGATTTGGCCCGCAGGCTGCAAGTTACTGACTCCAGCTCTTACTCATTCTCAGTTCCACGTGACTAAACCAACATTCATGCTCCCAGGTTGCTGGGTACTCTGGATCCCCGAGGTATAGATCCGAATCCAGTGTGATGCCTGCCTTTAAGAAACTCACAAATATTCTAGACCAGCACTGTCCGATAGAAATATAATGCAAGACACATTTTATTTTATTTTATTTATTTATTTATTTATTTATTTTTTTGAGAGAGTCTCTCTCACCCAGGCTGGAGTGCAGTGGTGTGATCAAACTCACTGCAACCTTGAACACCTGGGCTCAAGTGATCCTCCTGCCTCAGGAGGTCCCAGTAGCTGTGGCCACAGGCGTGTGCCACCACGATCAGCTAATTTTTTAATTTTTTTGTTTTGTAGAAATGGGGGTCTCCCTTATTGCCCAGGCTGGTCTGGAACTCCTGGCCTCAAGTGATCCTCCCTCCTCGACCTCCCCAAGTGCTACGATGACAGGCATGAACCACTGCACCCAACCCATATGCCATTTTAAATGCTGTAGAATTTAATTTTAATAACAGATTTTATTTCATCGAATATAATGTTATCATTTCAACATATAATTAAGGTAAAAGTTATTGAGATACTTTACATTTTGTCATTGCATCTCTGAAATCTGATATGTGTTTTATACTTAGAGCACATCTCAGTTTGGACCAGCCATGTGCTCAGGGCCGCGTGTGGCCCGTGCGTCCTGAAATGGACCGTGCAGCCGCAGGGCTTCTGTGCCTCTGGTGGCTGAATGACCCCATCCCCAGTAGACTGGGAAGCCTGAGGAATCTGTTCCTCAGCGTGGGGACCTGCAGGTTACAGTGGGGCACACGCAGGAGTGACCGACCCTGAGTGTTGGGCTGCTTTGAGCCCTGGCCATGCCTACTTTGAGACTCAGCTGAAAACAAATCAGGTGGTATTGGACAGCGCTCCCTCAACACTGGAATTTGAATGTAGGAAAAGAAGGTTCCGGAATCACAAACCTACCCAGCCCGCCGCCCCTGCCCTGTCCTGGCTGCGCGGAACCAGCCCCGACCACGGCTCTCTCACCTCTGCTTGTCTCTCCAAACAGACTCTATTCCCAGCCACCCCGCACGGCCAGCCGGTCCAGATCCCCCTCCAGCCGGCCACCAGCGAACACCACTGCCTCAGTGCCAGAACCATCTACACCCTCACTGTCCCCAAATACAGCGAGTTCTCTAAGCCCACCTGCTTCTTCCTGGAGCCCCCAGGTGGGTGCAGAGGGGTGCAGAAGTGGGGACTTTCCCCCGGGCCTCAGCAGCTGCCGGGGTGGTGAAGAGCACGAGTCTAGAGACAGACTCGCCTGGATTTAAACCGCAGCTCACTGTGCGTCTCCGGGCAGCTTACATAACCTCTCTGAACCTTGGTCCCCACAATCTGTAGGATGAGTTCATTCTTAGGAGGATTAGCCGGGCAGTGTACGTGAAGCGCTTAGCAAGTGCTCGCTTGGTAGACAGGAGCCACCGCTGTTTCTGTGTAGTTATTGCTATTTTTCTATTTTTCCCTCCTCAGGAGCCAGCTGGGCATTCCTGGTCCTGCCGTCACTTCTGCCCCTGCTGCTAGTAATTGCCACAGGGGGTGTCATCTGGAAGAGCCTCACAGGGGACCCCTGGTTCCAGCAGGCAAAGATGCCACAGGCTCTGGTATGGCAAATCTGGGGTGTCCTGCCAGGGGGGAGGGGAGCGTGGAGAAGGGAGTGGGCTGGGGTGAGGAGTGGTTCACTTAGGTGTCAGGATGGTCCAGACTGTGGAATGCCTCCTGAGCTTCCCTGTGCATTTGTTTAGCACCAAATAAAAAGCAAATATGCTTGGGAGGAAGGGGAGCCTTAACTTCCCCTCTGGGAAGGACCCCTCAGGTGCTGAGGGGTGGGGGAGGGCAGTGGGTGGCCTCCTTGTTCAGATGCGGCAGGCCAGTGGAGCTCCCATAGGCGGGTTCGGCGGACCCCCGCCAGGCCTCTGAGAATGGTTGTGAGTGTCCCCGTATCACGGCAGGGTGGCAGGGGAGCATTTTCAAAGTTCCCGCTCCAAGACTTGTGAGGGAACCTCACTAATCGTCAGACGATGACCTTGGGTAGACATGTCTGTGCCCTGCTCTCTCCCCTCGGCCGTCCCATTGAGGCACACCCCAGCCGAGGTCCCCCACGCAGCATCCAAACCCCAGGGGCGTTCTTGGGCCTCTGGAGCCCGCCCTGCCTGGGCCCAGGGAATTAGCGCCGCCACCAGCTCCTTCCTCCCCTGGCGATGGTGGTGGGAGCTGTGGACAGATGCCTGGCGCCGCGCCCCTCGTGGGATGGCTCTGGGGTGTGCGGGCTCCGGTGGCACCTGAGTCCCCAGCAGGATTCAGTGGCAGCTGCCCTCGCGCTGGGTGCCTGATACCGCCTCCCTGGCTGCCCCCACACCCCTTCCTGGTGCGTCCTGGGCTCACCCCTAAAGAAACTGCTTACACCCGAGTCCTCGTCCCAGGTCTGTTTCTCGGGGAACAGTAACAACTGTGCTCAGGAAGCCTGAGTTGTCGGCTCTTCTCTCCCTACCCCAAATCAGGACTTCTCTGGACTCAGACACTCCATGGCAGCCTTTCAGCCTAGGGGACCAGAGTCTCTGGATGACTTGGTCCTCTGTCCCCAAAAGGAACTGGCTGGAAGGGCCAGGCTGACCCCTAGAGTCAGGGCCCCAGCCACCCTATGGGCAGGATCAGAGAAGGACGGTGCTGAGGACGAGGAGGAGGAGGACGCGGAGGACTCAGAGGATGGCGTCAGTCTCCAGCCCTACATCCAGCCTCCCCCTTTCCTGGGGCAAGGGTGCCCATTGCCAGGGTACCCCGAGGAGGCAGACAGGCTGGACTCAGGGAGGCCCTGGGCTCCTCTGGTCCCAGGTGAAGGCTCCTATACTGGGGACTCTTCAGACCGAAGCTGGGCCAGTACTGTGGACTCCTCCCCCTGGGATGAGACTGGGTCCTCCGGCTGCCTGGCCAAGGAGGGGCCAGACCAAGGGCCAGGGCAAGACGGGCATGGAGAGCCTCTACCACCACCTGAATTCTCCGGGGACTCAGGTTTCCTGGAAGAACTCCCAGAAGATGCTCTCTTCCCTTGGGCCGCCTGGGGCTCCTCATTGCCAGAGCTGGATCTGGTCCCTGGGGAGCCCCTAGTTTCTCTGCAGACACTGACCTTCTGCTGGGACAGCAGCCCTGAGGAGAAGGAGGAGGAGGAGGAGGAGGAAGAAGAGGAGGAGGAGGAGGAGGAGGAAGATGAGGGCAGGAGTGAATCAGAGATTGATGACAGCGGTGCTGGCAGCTGGGGGGCTGAGAGCACTCTGAGGACCAAGGAAAGGATGCTGGGCCACTACATGGCCAGGTGAGCTGTCCCCAGCTTCCCACCGAATCTGGTGCTACTGTCACAGCTACTGGGCTTCCCAAGGACCAGGGAAGACACCACTGAAACTCGTGGGCGTGCGCACCTTCCCGAGGGAGCGGAGGGTCATTGTGGCACTTCAAGGTCCCTCACCTAGAGGCTGTTTGTCAGTTGGGTCTGGCAGCAAGATGCCACCCCTTCCTATGACCCACCTGCTTTAGGCTGAACTCTAAGAGGGGCAGAGACGGGTGGGTTGAGGTCAGAGGTTGATTGGGTCATAATAGGTCATATCACCCCACTGTCCCAGGGGTGACAGGCCAAGTGGAAAATCATCCCAATGTGAAACAGGTAGGTCAGGTCACTGTGGACATCAGGGGCTGACACCACCAAGGCACCTTCTGGAATTTGGGGAGGGCTGGTCCAGCTTCAAGCACATCTGGTGTGTCGGAGCCTTTCCCATGCCGTCCCCAGCACGGCTGGGCTCCCTCTGCCCCAGGTCCCAGCCTCCTAGTTGATAGGCCCCCTAGGGTGGGCCCTGATAAAGAAAAGTCCAGTTGGCCAAGGGTGCTGGAGGGGAAGGGAAGGGGCAGTTGTCATTCAAATTCTGGTCTTTGGAGTCACAGCATTGCACAGTATTTAACATCAGACAGACCTGGGTTCAAATCCCAGCTCTGCCAATTTACCAGCTGTGTGATCTTGGGGAAGCCGCCTTCCTTCTCTGTACCTCAGTTTCCTCATCTGCAGCTATTGCCCGGGGTGTAGTGAGGGTTCAGGGAGATCCCAGGTATGTGCAGCATGGGCCTGCCAGGTCACTGGTGCTCTCCACGTGGTGGCTGGTAGAATTCTCCATCCATCCAGCCTCCAAGGAGACCCCGGGCATCTCCCACCTGTGACCCCTAAACCCAGAGCGACTGAAAGCAGTTGCCTTTCAGCTCGTCTCACCTGTGGTCTCCCCCGCTCCCTGCCCTCTTCCTGGTCAGGAGACTGAGCTCTCAGAAGCCTGAGCTCCAGCTGAGGGGGGCCAGGGTCCCTCTCCCTTTACCCAGCCATGGGAACGTGCTTCCCAAGGAAGGAGCCAACCAGTCCACCTTCCGGGGGCCTGATTTGTTGGGGTGGGCAGGGAGTGGACTTCTGGGCCTGTAGTCGTATTTTGGACAGCACTTTACCCTCTGCAGTTGACCACTGTAGTTGGGAAGAAGTCCCACTCCCCCTTCTAGTTACGAGAAACCAGTGTCTTCTGGAAACAGGTGACTGTCCTTACCTCCGGGCAGTGATGCGTCCTCAGTTAACCTACACCCACCTGCATAGGGATGAGCATAGCGGAGTTCTCACCCATAGGACTGAGATGTTTGTCTGTTCTGTGGCCATTTGACCTGCCAGGGCTTACGTTTCTCCATCTGTGAAGAAAGGATCTTCTCAGCCATTTTACCCACAGAGCTGTGTTGTTTTGAGGACACCGTGAAGGCATAACATTAAATGACAGATCTGGAAAAGTGTCTTAAGGCATCTGATCCAGGGGTTCTCAAAGCATGTGCCTAAAAGGCCGTGGGTTTCGGCTGCAGGGGGAGCTGCGGGGCTGCGTGAACCCCGCTCCAACCAGAGCAGCCTCACTGTGCCCTGGTTACATGCAGTGGCCTTGCACGGAGGTCATTTAGGGGGTTCCATTCCTAAAGAGAAAGTTAGAAACCACTTTTTTAATTGAACACCGGTCTAGTTTCAAATGAAGCAGCTGAGGTCCAGAGTGGCAAAGGCGCTTGCCCTAGGTCACCCGGCAATGCCCAGATGACTTATGTGTATGTCCTCAAGGGTGAGGTCTTTGGTCTCTGCCCAGCCAGGCCAACCCCTGACCTCTTGGCCATGTCAACAAAGTATGAAGATCTCAGCCAGGGTTTCCAAGGGTCACTACGCTGGCAGGAGGCCTTCAGCCCTGCTGAGGCGTGTGTGCACGAGCTCACGCGTGCGCGCACACACACACACACACACACACACACACACACACACAGACGGGCACCTCTCCCCAGGGGGTTTCCCTGCAATGCTTGTCCACACCCTTGAGCCCAGAAGAGAAAGAACAAACTGAAACCGTGGAGCTGGGGAAGGCTGTGGCTTAGGGCCAGGCCAAGGCTGATGTTCTTTCTGGCACGCAGCTGAGCTGCTTCCTGGAAGTAATTTCAAAACAGTAAAAGCTATCGTCACCGTTGCCTTAGGCTTATGTGAAATCACCACTTTATTTCTAATCTTAAACTTTGTTATTTTTGTCGGCTTTGAATATTTTTTTCAAAGTTTAACGAACAATGAAACATTAGGGAAGCATTGGGAAAGGGCATGATAATCAATATAACAATTTGTCTCGTGTGCCCAGCACTTCACTGTTTACAAAGCCCTTTCACGCACCCAGCGGGTGGGAACCGCATAGTGCGGGCTGGGCCCACACTGGAAGGACATTCGGTAAAAAGTGAATCGTGTCTCAGGTTAAAACAACATGTAAATGCTTTATCGTACTGAGAAGATTGTATATTGTTCTTATATATTTGTATTTATTTCTAATTTTGTTCTATGTTTATATCATGTTTGAATACTATCCTCATGCTTGTTGGCGTTTACCCTAAACTGTTTAAATAAAGAGCTCTATTTTTGGAGAAAAAAGGATAACTGAAAGGAAAAGTGTATGCTCTTGCCTTTCAAAAGCTGCTTGCCACGTGTTTGGGAAACCCAGCTGTTAAGACCACAGGGGTGTTGTCCGCAGAAGCAGACCCGGCGGTGTGGGGGTCTAAAGCGGTACAGTGATTCCAGGCGTCCTAGTGGGGAGTGGGGCAGCAAGACAGGGAGGGGAAGGTGCGTGATGAAACAGGTCCCTGCCGGAGGAGCCTTGGAAATCTGTGCCGGACACACTGCAGATCTGTTCCCCCTGCCGGGGGCAGGAGCCGGGCAGTCTAGCCACGACCTCCAGTCGGTCCTGCGTAGAGGCTGCTCCCTGCGGTGGAGTCGCAGGTACTTGCAGGTGGAAACCATCAAGCTGAGTGCACACGAGAGGGGAGTGCCATGGGGCTGGGGTAGGGTCTCCAACCAGCATTGCCTGTCACAGCGGAGCCGGAGCTGAGTGCTCACCGCCCTGGCAGCATAGCCAGTGGCAGCTGTGGTCCGTGGGAGGATACCAAACAGCACCTGTATGCCTGGCCTTGCAAACCCAAACCCATTCCAGTAGCTCTCTGTATGGGAGGGTCTCCCAGCTTCCAGCAACCGTCCTAGGACGCCGTGGTGACTATCTAGCACTGTGTCTGCAGTTGTTACCAGTTACTGGTCCCAAGGTAGGAGCTAGACCCCAGCAGAGCTGATCCAATAGGTCCCTTTCCCTGGACTTCAGAAGTCTTCCTGGCTGGCTGGGCTGGGAACAGGTACGTCCCACACTGCTACAGCCACATTTCCCACCCTGAGCAACAGGAAAGCCTAGTCTGCAGAGAGACAGGAAAGGGGCTGCCACGTGAGACGCTGAGATGAGAAGTGACAAACCTGGTTCGGCCCCTTCCCTGGTCCTGCAGCACTCCCGGCCTCGGCTTCCCTGCGTCCTGGCTTTACCAGCGAAGGAAACCAGAATATTTCACCCCAAATGATGCCTCTTGGATATACATATTTTTCAGCTAAGGCAATTAAGCAGCAGCAAACAGAGGAAGGAAGAGCACTTTCTATAAACTCCCTGCTCTCTGCCTAGAGACAGGATGTAAATTATTCTTTACTGGAGACAACTCTTAGCTCAGAGACGGCACCAGAGGCACCTACGAACCAACCTTCCTCTGTTAACTTCCATATATTTATCTTCCCAGAGTTTCTGGCCTTTGGAAGCCTAAACCTGGTTTCCTTTGTCCTGTCACGTCCCTAAAATGCGCTGTTCTTTGCTGAGGTGCTCTGAACGCCAGAGTTCTAACCCACCACCTGAGTTACCCTTCACTGCGGGCCCTCCCGTGTGACGTCACCGCACACATCGATGCACTTGCCTCTTTTCCTCTTGTTAATCTCTCTTTTGTTCCAGAGGCCTGTCCTAACTCCGAATTCATGAGGGTCGAGGAGAAATTATGTTTCCTCCCTGACACCAGGGCCTTCCAGTACTTGCAACCAAATGCCCTTGCCAGTTCACAAAGGGACAGTGGGCATTGAAGATCGTGGCCAGGTTCAGGTATCTGTCCACTTGAATGGATGTGTGGTAGGCCCTTCCCAGAAAACAGGGCAGAACTTCCTGTCCAGGTGACCGGCGGCCACCTCCCTACCCGACCTGCTGGGCCGGATCACCTACGAGCTTCTCTTTCACCTGTCTGCTGCCACCTTCTGGGCAGTGGTGGGACGGCAGGGCCGCTGGGCGCCTTCCTACCTGGAGAGGGGATGGCTGGGGCGTTGGATGTCACATTCTGAGAACTCCTTCTGGAAAGGGACTGTTTTTCCTCCTGGCACCAGCACCTGGCACAGGGTGGAAGCTTGGACTTGAATAAATGAATGAAATAATAAGTGAGTGAATTGACACATGAATGGGAGTCAATAAGTGGCCGGCTGTGGCTGGAAATCTTACATTCAATGATATCATCCCAGATGCGAAATTCCTGTTGCACATGGTGACTGTCCTCCCTCTGGGGGGGAGGGCCGGTGCTGCCCAGTGAGCGACACAGCAGGGAGACGGGTAAGCAGGAGAAAAAACAGGACCTTAACCCTCCGTGACTCTTTATTCTGTAGTTCAGTGTTTCCCACATGATTTAGGACCTGATATCATGGCTGCTGGCCTGCACCTTCCTTGAGCTCATTCTTGTAGGCTCAAAGTAGGGCTAAAGGGGTAAGGGTTCAGAGTGCTTTTTCTAGAAAAAATAAAAAAGCAGACTGGAAGTTGTAGCTGTATCTAAATGAGTGAGTCAGTTCCATGAGTCAGTTCCTCAAGAGATACTGGTTGGTGCTGGACCCATTCCAGCCCAGGGAGCCCCACCCTTGGCAATGATGAGACAAGATATGGAGGCGTGACAGCTTTTTATAACTTGTCAAGAGTCTTCGTTTGTTTTTTTTTTTTTCTAACTGCCTCTTTAAGTGAATTAAGAGAGGAAGACGGGGTCCCCTGGAGTACCCTGTCCTGGTGGGCAAACCATCAGCAGGTGGTGGGAGGCCCCTCTCTGGGAGTCAGTGCCTCCAAGAGAGGCCCACTCTAAGCCTCAGTTTCTCTGGGCACTGAGTGGGCCATCTGGGGAGCCAAATTCCAACAGAGGCTTGGAGCCGGCACGCTCCCATCGCTGAGCAACAGCCCGTTCATGGAATCCCTGCCTTGAACTAACTCTAACCCAGCCTGGAGG